ACTTAAAGTGAGATCTTGGACAGGAGTAGCCATGCTAACCTCGAGAGAATTTTGATACTTATACATTATAATGACCGACTTTTTACTCTAAAGTATTATTAAAGGGCTAGGAAAATATAGCCACCAGTGGTCTCCCACACTTCTCAAGATGATTGAATTTTCCTATCAAGGAATTATATTTGCAATTATGGTTATATTATCAATATAGACATATCAAACATTTTAGTTAAATTACATAAATATATCTAAAGTAACAATCCATATAAATTACATTTATGGTTATATGGTTTAAATAATTTAGTATCATTAGTATATGAGTTGTTAAGAAAATATTTTTTATGTGATGAAACATAAGATATACATTTTATTGCTCATGCATGTTGGAAGGACACGTACATTTACTTTAATCAAATTTTACTATATTAATATTGATAGAGGTGAGGTAATGTAGAAACATATATATACTATATTCATTATCTAAACAATTTTTTGTAAAAGAAGAAGTTGACAATTTAGATGTAGATTTGAGGGGTATTTAATTTTTCTATGAAAACAGAGTTATGTAAATTATCGATCATAATAAAAGGACATTAGTACTTAAATGCAAATTTAGGTCTACTTTAGATCATGTTTCTTAAGGACATGGCAATATAAATTGGAGTCATGAGCTAGTTTATATTGTTTTACACAGTAGCAATAGTAGATAATTATTTATAAAATAGAATAGACCCAACAACTTTTATTATTATCGATGATAATTATGTTATATATAACTAATGGTAAGATATTTATGATTTTTATGAGAATTTCTAGGATCTATCTTTTGTTTTCCTATCAAGTCTTGTAATGATTAACATGCAAGCTCTAGTGAGACCTGTAGTTACAATTTCTAGTATTTTTTTCTAGTGTGATAGGTATTTAGTTGAAATATAGTTTTAAGATATATAAACTCTTGATACAAGCCTTTTTGTGACTTAGTAAATCTATAGTTTATCTTTTAATTTTTCATCAAGTTGTTGCAATTTTGTCACGTGTTAATTAGAAATTCTAGTATTCTTTATCTTTTATTCAAAAAATGCTTTTATTAAAAAGATATAGGTCCTAATAGTATTGTTTTCCATATAAGTTGAAACTCGGCTTGCGTCCTGACACTAAACATGTTGAATTTTTTATATCATAGGTGTGTAGTATTACTTATATACCATAGTATGCATAAAATTAAATTAATAATATTGATATGACATAATGTTTCAGTAAAAATATATAAACTTATTGAAAATAATAACTTATAAAACTTTTTATCATGGAGTACTAATATAAAATGTTATTGTTACATGGTTTGTAAGTGAATATTTTTTCATGTTTCATAAGTTGTTAAAATAAATATTTATCCTAATGTATACATGTTTATTTGATATACATGATGAAATATAGCGTTATAATTATTTTATTTTGAGATTATAGAAGTCTATAAATTAGAAATATATATATATGTATCGTACTTTATGTGTATTGATTTATTTTTTGTAATAATATATAATACTATTTATGTGTGGATTTCAGAGATTTTTGTTTATTTTTTATAATGGCTAAGGTAGATGCAAATATAAAGGTAATACCTTATATTATCTTCACAATGACATATATTGGTATGTTAAATGCTAACTTAGAATATTACTTTGCATTATCTTTCGTAACGATAAAGGTGGATAACTTATAAAATCATTAGAAGTCATTTTAAATTATCTTTCATAATGGTAGATGTGGGTAATTTAGATACAAAGTTAGAGGATTAAATTATCTTTCATAATAACAAAGTTGGGTAATTTAGACGCAATGTTAGGGGGTTATTTTAAATTATGTTTCATAATAGCCAAGGTGGTAATTTAGATACAAATCTAGAGTATTATTTTGAATTATCTTTTGTAATGGCAAAGGTGGGTAATTTACATGGAAAATTAAGGGGTTACTTTATTTATTTTTCATAATGGTAGTAGTGGGTAATTTTTTAATAAGCTGCAATAGATCCAATGGCTATTATTGGGGAAGATGATTAGAGTCTACCAAATCAAAGGGCATGTGTTTATTATGAGAATTCGTAGGATTTATCTTTTTTCCTAGCACGTCTGGTGAGAATTAACGTGATGCCTCCGTTGGAGTATCTAATTAGTAGTTATATTGGGGAAGATGATTAGAGTCTACCAAATCAAAAGGCAGATATTTCTGATTATTGTGAGAATTAACGTGATGCCTCCGTTGGAGCATCTAATTAGTAGTTATATTGGGGAAGATGATTAGAGTCTACCAAATCAAAGGGCAGGATTTATCTTTTTTCCTAGCGCGTCTGGTGAGAATTAACGTGATGCCTCCGTTGGGGCCTCTGATTAGTAGTAGTAAGATAGCTAGGTGACTTGGCTTTGTCTAGGTGCACAACAGAGAATTTGTATACATAAAAAAATTTAAAGTAATTTATTTATTTTATACATAGAAGGGCGGGCCTGGTGCAAGCGGTAGAGTCTTACCGTCTGTGACCGAAAGGTCCCGGATGAAAGCATCTAGGCCCCTAGTTGGATTTTGGTGATTAATGACGACACGAGATTACTATGACTAACGTGTATTTTACAGAGGCAATTTAAAGTTAGGTCATGGTTATGGCAATTGATTGAGCACTATGGTTTTCATGCCCCCGTCGATGAAATTTATTTTGGTTTTTAAAGGATGGACGACAAGATTAAGGACGGCTAGTTTTAAGTGTCATTTAGAGTTGAAGAGACACTTAGAATAGTTTATGACTTTGTTTTTCCTTTGGCCATACTATTAAGGGGGTATGGAATAGTAGCTTGACCTAGGTGAGTCTAGTAGGTTAGGTGTGGTGCACACTTGTCAAACCTAGTACTAAGTAGCTCAAGAATAGCCCTAAGATCAATTGGAGTCAACTTCATTCACATAGGATATTGAGTTGGAAGTGAATGGATGGTCAAATGACTGACCGGACGCTGGTCTGGTTGTGACCGGACGATAGAGGGTGAGTCCGGTCAGTTCATTTGATGAACTGCAGTCGTCAGGTACTGACCGGACGCTGGTCTGGTTGTGATCGGACACAGGATGGTGAGTCCAATCAGTTCATTTAATGAACTGCAGTCGTCTGGTACTAACCGGACGCTGAGTGGAGGAGCACCGGACGCTGGTGTGCCTGCGTCCGATCAACACCAGAAGTTCTAGAGAGGCTTTTTCTTGACCGGACGCGTCCGGTGGGTGCTAACCGGACGCTGGTCAGAGTCCGGTCAGAGCTTAACGGCTCTCTCTGACACAGTGGCGGGTATAACTGATCGGAGCGTTCGGTCAACCTGACCAGAGCGTCCGGTCAGCCTGCAGAGTGATGACTCAGCCTTCAAACGTTATGTTTTGAATAAGGAGGTATAAATACTTACTCCACTCATCCATGGGAGGTCTCTTGCCCATTTATTCAGCTGAGAAACACCTTTGGAGTGTAAGGGAGAGTAAGAGCCTAGTGGAGTGATTGAGATTTGATAATCCAAGATTAAGGATCTCATTAGTACATAGGGAGTAGCAAGTATGTATCCACCATTCTCATTAGGCTTGTCTTGGTCAAGTGAGAGTTTGTGCTTATTACTCTTGGTGATCGCTATCACCTAGACGGCTCGGTGGTGATTAGGAGCTTGGTGATCATCCGACGGAGCTTGTGGATGACCCAAGTCATATTGTGAGCGATTGTGGGTGATTCACCACGACGGAGTGTCAAAGAATCAGCCCGTAGAGAGCACTTAATCCTTGCGCGGATCAAGGGGAGCTACACCCTTGCGCGGGTGCTCCAACAAGGACTAGTGGGGAGTGGCGACTCTCCGATACCTCGGAAAAATATCGCCATGTTCCTTTCCCTCTCTTTACTTTGAGCATTTACATTTGAACAATTCATTTCATGTCTTTACATTTCTAAAATTGTCATGCTAAAGTAGGATTGGAACCTAGGGTGCAAAACTTTTGTGCGGGAGAACAATAAAAACACATTCTAATCACAAGGGGTGAAATGGGCTAAGTGTAGGACTTAATTATTGAAAAAATTTAGAATTAGCCCAATTCACCTTACTCTTGGGCATCTTGATCCTTTCACCGGATTCGAGTCGCGGTCTCCTCGCATTGCACAAGCGAGGGTAAGGCTTACCACTGACACCCTTCTCCAGACCCCTCATAGAGCGGGAGCTTTCTGCACTGGGTATGCCATTTTTATTTATTTTATACATAAAAAATTTGCATCAGCCTCAGGCCATATTGCAACGTCACTCAAAACTACCCTAAATGTGTAACAAAGTTGAAAAATAAATGGTGTAAGATTGAGTAGCGTCTTGTTTGAGGTTCATGAAAGTTCAGGATGTAAAGTAGACTTATTTTCAATATAATATAGGGGAATATCATTTCCAATGCAAAGAAAGATGTTATTTAAACTTCGGTAAATAGTAGCTGATACCTTGGTTTTTAAAATTGTTTGTCTAAAGAATTCTTCTACATGATTTTTGTTTGGGAAACAGCTTATAGAATACCTAAAAAACATCTCCCATCCCACGTTTGATATGCCTTGTGCAAAATGCCTCTAATAGCGTGCCTCTACATGAGATTTGTGTTCCAGTGATTTGCATGTTCATGAGGGCGAAGTGATATATGTCATAATACCGAATGAAAACAGGAAATTATTTGGAATTGTTGGGGCAGCATGCCTTCCATGACTTTCTATGTTTCTACCTCCCAGTTTAAATGTTCTACATATACACTCAACTAGTTTTGCATTTTATTGGTTTCCTTCAATTCTCATATTCTTTTTCTCTTTTTTATCCTAAATTAGCTGCATTCATTTTATGAATTTCTTATTCAAAAGGTCTAAGGTATAGGTGTAAATATATACACGATAAAAACGATATGAAGGCAGTACATACCCAGTTTAAAGTCTTGGCATGCTTTGAAGCCCACCGTAATTGCCAAATTACTTACTCGCCAGTTCTGTGATCATTCAATGTGAAGTCTGTGTCTTTATGAAACAACAACGAGGCAACAATTTTAGGATTGCACATCCGGACAGCTTGATGCAGAGCAGTTCGTCCGTCCTTATTATTTCGCATGTTGATGAGTTTACGAAGCTGTGGTGTCCTTAGGATAAATTCCACAAACTCTGTCTGACCTTCCTTTACAGCTTCGTGAAGGCATGTCCAACCATTTCTGTCGCAATAGGGAGCATCTGGACAGTGGTTGAGAAGCTCTTGAGCAACATCAACATGACCTCGATATGCAGCAGCAACAAGAAGAGGGCTCAGATTACCAGCATCATCATAGCATTCATACCCTAAAAAAACATCATGTTCCAACAACACACGGAGCACGTCTATCTTGTCCCAAATTACTGTCATCAGGATTGGGGTCTTCTTGTCTCTGGTTCTTTCTTTCACCAGTCAAGGACGTCCCTCCAAAAATTTTTTAGCCATAACTGAAAACAAATTGAGGCAGCAATTTGCTTGTCAATAAACTAACCAAAGGAGAATGGCGAATAATATTAGTCACATATTAAAGAATCTTTCCTGTACAAAATTAAAGAATAGATTGTGCTGTAAAAATAATGTTGCCAGTTTTTCTGAAATAATGAATAAATAAATAAATAAATAATACAACCAATTTAGTTCATAGTCCATATAATTCTAACCTGCATTTCCATTTCTCACAGTAGCATGCAAGGCATTGTGGCCGTATGTTCCAACATGGTTAGATCCAGGAATTTCCAACAGTTTCTCAGAAACATCTGTAAAATCTCTCATTACCGCGATGAACATTGGTGACTCACTGTATTTGTTCACAGCTTTTGACAGGGCAGGCTCTTTTTCTATCAATTCCAGTGCAAGGTCCTTGTGACCACTATGAATGGCATGGTGCAGTGCATTACAACCATTTTTGTCTTGTTGCAAGATTGCCTCACTGAACCCTAGTGTGCAGCAGCATTCAAGTAGAATAGAGGCCAAAGACATGTGGCCATTTGTCACGGCAGTGAGCAGTGGTGTCTCACCATCCATGTTTGCGATAGTGAGAAGAGAATTGTTTAGCGCCAGCACATCCTTGCAAAATCCCTCATGGCCATAGATGGAGGAGATGTGGAGGCAGGTGTTCCCTTGAGGAGTTGTTCCAAGCAGCAGGCTTGGATCCTGTGCAGCCATCTCCTTCATTGATGTGGCACTGCCAACCATGGCTGCCTCCAGGAGCCGCCTCTCCATCTGAGCTCCTGGCAAACTAGCTGTAGCTATACTGGCTGACATCCATATATTAAAACAAAATGAAAAAAACGTAGTTTTTACCAATGATCAACTAGTCTTGCATACATATTACAAGTCTTATTCTCTTCTTCTAATTTATGCAGTCTATCAAAACAACTAAGACTAAATTAAAGCTGTAAGCATAAAAATGATTTGGACACTGTCGACAGTGATTTATCACTTCGTAAACTGGCATTTTTCAAATGTCTAACACGCATCTTGCAGGCAATTCTCTTAGCTGCTAAAATATGCATGGAAGATGATTTATTGACACTGCAGGGAAAAATTCTAAATTACAGATTTACAGTATAAATAGTGTCAACTATATAGGAAAAAACCTAAAATAAAGATAAATTTATTTAACCTATTTCTGTTAATTTTTGAATAAGAGCATGAAAAATATTAACAGAAATAGGCAAAGCTTCACATATAGACCTGTTCATATCAAGGAAATTAAAAAGGCTGTTTTTGACATGACAATCAACAAGGCTGCATGACCTGATGGTTTCCCCATGAAAGTTGACCAAGAATTTTGGGAGATTGTTTGCACAGAATGGTTTTCCCTATTTGAGGTCTTGTGTGATAATAATCTAGAAGATTGTAGCAAATTGAACTATGGGGTGGTTACTCTAAGCTTATACCTAAAGAAACTGAAGATCCCATCAGAATTACTCAATTTGGATCAATACACATGTTAAAATGACTGTTAATCATCGGTAAGGTGTTGTCTATGTTGAACCTTTTATCCCAAGAGTTATTTGTCAGACACAAGATGCCACACCAAGAAATTTCAAAAAGTCTGATTTCAAGAATTTCTTTTATGCATACCAGTGCTTGTTGATTAACACTGGGAACTAACAAAAGAACACAGGTCTCCATGGGCTAGGAAATTTATAGTGATGATATCTTTCATAATACAAATTTTCTTCACCAAGAAAACAACACTTTCCAGTCCTTGAACTGATTGCCCCTAGAATGTATTATGTACTATCTCCTCTGCCCCACAAGTTCATATGCAATGCAATACACAATTCCAAACTATTTGCTGAAAAAAAAGGATATCATCTAGTCACTGAATAATTAAGAATTAGAGTAGTACCTGGCAGTAGTATTTCACCCAAGAGATACCACCCGACCAACTTTGATAGATCCAACAAATCCCAGCAACGGTTTATCACTTGCCCAGCCTAATCGCACTACTGTCTCTTATAGAAGCAAAGCAAAACTGCCTCCCCTGCCTGATAAAGCAAAAAGGAGCTAAAGGGGAGAAAAAGCTAGCTGCGTAGCATTGAGAATGGATCGTGCTCCCGGAGCTAAAGGGGTAGGTTGGGACCTGCAAAACGTGAATTGATTCTTTTCTTGGTTGATGCTCAAGACTGGGAACCTAAATAAAGATGCAGAAATCTTGTGAAATTAACCTGAAAAAGAAGCACAAGAAAACCTGGCAGTTGGCATCACTTTCAGTATATATATATATATATATATATATATATATATATATATATATATATATATATATATATATATATATATATATATATATATATATATATATATATATATATATATATATATATATATATATATATAGTAAGGCTATTCTGCAGCTGGCCATAGAATAACTTATTCTATAGCCACCTTGATTTACGATAATATTTGTATCAATTTACGATAACATGAATATGCATTTACGATACTTGTGTTACTACAACTCATGGTGATATTTACGATAATGTTAGAGTAAATCACTTAGTAAGGAGTTACTGTAATCTCGTAAATTATCATGGTAATTATCGTAACTCAAAGTGGCCACAGAATAAGTTATTTTATGGCCAGAACAGTGTATATATATATATATATATATATATATTTTGTTTCGCGCAGACCAGAAATCGGTGTTCAAATCGAATGCTAGAACCATGAAGGCGTGAGGGCCGTACCATCGTTCTTGTCAAGAAACTGCTGCACGTACGGCGACACCGGGGAAGGCCGAAGGCGAGGAGCTTCTTGGCCGTGGTTGGCACGATGATAGCCGCGGCCGGCCGGTCTACTCGGTGTTGAGGATGATGCGCTCAGACCTTGCCGATCTGCTGTGTGCGCCGAGGGGAGGCGACTCGTGGTTGCCGGTGGTCGGCGGAGCTGATTAAATTGGGAGGTGAAAGCGTTGAAGCTTGCTGCTCAAACATGACGGAGTATCATGAGTGCGTTGAAGCTTGTTTTGCCTTCTTTCCACCTCAAGACGCAGAGAAATTCTGTGATCCGGGCTGCAGAGAAGCGTACCGGTGCCACACCGTCAGCGGAGATGAATGCCCCAGCGGACACCGTTCATCATCCGACGACTCTTCTGGTAAAATATTATTATTGAACCGGCCGGCCTTTTCATTCTCCTTTATATATAATTTTTATTCTCACTGACTGAATTTGCTAGTATATATTTGATTTCTCACAACGCAAACTGGAAATCCCGTCTCATAATATATACTAACTTCTTTGATTTTTGCAGCAAACGGAAATGCTGCCGTCGACCACTGCATTTTAGGATGCAACTCCTCCGTGTGCAACCAAATGGTCACCGGTAAAAAACGAAAAAAAAAATTCAATGACTAATTGACTATTACTACATACAACATACTGATCGATGCCATCTTTTTGTTTGTTTTCACCCGCGAATCTGATTTACTATCAACCTGCTCATGTAAGTGAGCTTCTACGTATGTAATTGGGTCTAAAAAAATTATGTGTTTCTGTGTCCGTGCGTGTCCTTTTTCCCTTAATTTCCAGTGAGGATCATCACCAGCGTGGGTCATGCTATACTGTATCCTTATTGTAATAAGTATATATATGATCGACATGATACGTGTTGGAATATCTTGTCCAATAAATAAAGTCTGTCGTTGTGTGTTACTTTTTGACTTAGCACTTCTTTACATTTTACTACTATGGTTGAAAAATCTTTGTGATTTTATTTCCAAACAGTTTGTTGGGCACTTGGGCATACTGAAACGACCGGTGATTATATTCGCCAAATTAGGCTTTTAAAAACTAAGACTCAAAAATACGCATAAAAAGGTTCTTCTATGCATGCATTGCTATCTCTCTAACTTAAAAGAACTTGTAAAAGATGTTCTGATCCTACAACAACTATACACATAGCAATTACAGAAGAAGTTTTCCTATAAAAAAAAATCCAGAAGAGGTGCGATGAATGGAAAGGGTACAGAGATATGTAAATTCTGGTATGACAACTTTTTAACTTCGAAAGGCTAAGGACGAAGCACTTCGCTTGGAGCCCATATCAAGTGTCAATCTCTCTCTCACGGCACATGCATGCAGTTTTTCCTCTTATTGGCTAGGAGTAGCTGTTTGTATTCATTTAGGCCTTGTTCGGTTAGTCTGGATTCTCCAAGAAATAGTTCCAGACGATGGAAACTTATATAAATTTGAGAATAATCCAGCTAGGATTTGTTCTAGGGAGGAGATCCATGGTAACCGAACGGGGCCTTATGCGACTACCATGCCATGCGGAAATTAAAAACCTTGATGAGCCTTCCCACCGCTTGCCGGATCGCCGATCCGGCCTGCTTGATATCAAAAGCTTGGCAAGAAGTTAGAACCCCATGCGCAGGGGCGGAGACAGGGGGGCGGGCAGGCCCATGCAAGGAGGAAATGAAGGGTCCCATTGTCCACAACGTTTAGTAATTTATTTATTTATTCCTTTTTCTGTTTCGTAGATCACATATCCTTATTAATTCTAGCCCCGTTTGGCTTGCTGAAACTTGGTTGAATTGGCTAAAAAATATTGTTCTGGCTGAATTGTTGTGAGAGAAAAACACTGTTCCGGCTGAAAAAACAAACTGAATAGTACAGATTATAAGGTAAGCCGAACGGGGGCTCTATAGTTAATTTCCTTTTCAACTTGATATATGCAACCATCCAGAGCTAAGTACATTGCCATCATTTGCTGATGTAACAAAGGGACTAATGACATTAGGTAAAAGTTCTATTTATCCAGTGGTTGATAGACTGCTAAGATTACTCATAACTCTTCCAGTATCAACAGCGACCACCGAGAGAGTCTATCCAGCCGTGAAACTTGCCAAGACACATATTAGGACTAAAATGGGAGATGGTTTTTGCAATAAGCCAAGACACGTATTTGAAACTTGCCATATGCCCTATGATTGAATTTAAATGACAATATATATGTGTATGCTTTTATTTAAAACTACAATTTGCGTCTGCTTCTCGCATAGAAGCGCCATCCACGTCGCCCTAAAATCACCCGGCTGTCCGATCTTCCGTTTCACGGTCCAGATTTATTGGAGCAGATTCCACCGGAAGCAGCTTCCTGGGCTTCTCCTTCACTTTTCCGCCTTCTCCTCTGATTCTCTTTCGCTTCGCTGGCTTCTCATTCGAATCCGGTGAACCAAATATAATGCGCGGCTTCTCCTTCTCCTTCTCTAGTCTTTCTGACGCTTCTCCTTCCCTAGCCTCCCCGACGCTTCTCTTTCCCGCACCCTGCCCACCCCGCCGAACGCCGCGTCCGCCCCCGCCCTCGGCGACGCCGTGCTCGGGAGTGCCATCGTCGCCCCCCTGGCGAGGTCGCCGCCACCCAGCACCGCGCCGGCCTCTCTGGCCTCGGTGCGCCGGCGACCTGACCTAGGGTTTCGACGGCGCACCGGGGCCGGAGAGGCCGGCACGGTGCTGGGTGGCGTCGACCTCGCCAGGGCAGGCGACGATGGCACTCTCGAGCATGGTTCCTCGCAGGCCGCGGTGGCGGCGAAGCTCGGCGGGTGGATCTGCCGCTGGTACCTCAGCCTCTCCTCCTCCTGCTCCGCCTCATGGCTCCTCCCCCGAATCCTCTCTCCCTCCATCTTCCCCTTTGCACAGGTGATTGGCCGTCGCTGCAGCCTGCGCTGGCTCCTGGCGACGGCAAACTCACACAGGCCTCTAGGTGCACC